AAAGCATATAAAAATTAATTATCATGTCGTTCGTGAAAAAAATACAAAGTGGTCTTCTTTATTTGCTGCTCATACCTTATGCTCAACTAGTTGATATAGTTACTAAGACTCTTTATCCCAAAGTGTTTACACAATAATAATTAATCTTGTTTATTACAAGTTGTTATGGTTTTATCTTTTTCCTTTTGTATAATTTGTTATTGTACGTATCTAATATGTTATGTATGGTTGATTATCTTCATCATCCTTATATATACTATCTTAGTCTTTTCTGGAAATAGTATAATGGAATCAATGAAATATTTATTCCCATACAGATTTTTATGTAAGATATTTTGTCTAAGAAACTTGCCAAAACTAAAAATCACATAATCATGTCTAGTATATAAGGAGGAAGCAAGAAACACAAAAGGGAAAAGGTTTGGGAGGAAGCAATATATAATTAGAAACTTACTAACAATTTACCCCTTGATTGACATGTTCTCATCTTTAGGACTAGGTCTTCGGTCCTATTTGATTCAATGGTAGGTACAACTTGGAATAGAATATAACATTTTGATATTTATACATTTTGAACTATTTTAGTTAAATTTCTTTCCTTTTTAATATATTTTGTTTCCAAAAATTAAATTCAAATTTCTTGAATTTCATTTTTTTTAAATTAGATGAACTAGTTTAATTTCTATCGAATGTTTAAGTTTTAAATTTTAATAATTTAGTTTAGTTATATGATTTTAGAATAAATTATATCAAACATAAAAATTTTGCTAACTTTCAAATAATAACATTTTTAAAATTGTTTTGATCAACTTTGGTAAATAATTAGTTATCTCATTTCTTTATATGTAATGATCAAAGTAACTTTAATGCCACCAGATTTTTAGTCTTAACATCTTAGTTAAGATATTTTACTATTTTTTGGTGGGTCTTAATATATCTTGTAAGATACAAAATATCTTAAGATCATATTTGATTTTATGATTTTATCTTTTTGTCTTCATGTTTTAAGGTAGATCACACTTTAAGATTTTGAATAGATATGGATTTTTACAATAAATTATAATTAATATATTTTAAAATTGTTAATTAATTAGATTTTAATTATTTTAAAAATATAACATAAAAAATTAATTAATTATTTGATTTTTTTTATTTATTATTAATTAAATTCAAGAATCATAATTTTTAGTCTAATTTCTTTTTATGTCAAGTCAATATGTTAATGAACCAATTTTAAGTTCATTGAAAAAAGAATTATTAACATATTTTTATCAAAATGATTAATTAAAAATATTTTAATAAAAATAAAAATATATTTTTAAAATTAAAATTATATTAATAAAATTAGTTTTTATTTAAGATATAATGATTTAATATATAAATTATAATAGAATATATTAATTTAATAGTTAAAAACTTATTTTTTTTGTTATTATTATTTATTTTTTAGTAATTTATTAATCTAAAATAGTTAATAATTTTAACCATTAGATATTGAAATAAGTTGTTTATAGAAACTTATTTTGATATTTATTTTTAAAATAAGTAAATTATTTATTAAATTTATTTTTAATACATATATTTTTTATAAAATAATTTTTTTTATTTAAAAAATAATTATTATTTTAAATAATTAGTTCATAAGCGTATGGTTAATCTGGTCTAAACTCATATAAATCATGATGTAAATGGACTCGGTCAGAATAGGTTTAATTCAATTTATATTATAATTTTTTTTGTTTAATCTAACTTATTTTTCAATTCTTTTTGGTTTACTTATCGGTTTAAGCTTATTTTGATATCTTTTAATTTACATGCTTGTCTGAATTATTTTTTCTTAATTTAATTTTCTTGTCCATTTTATTTTATTGTTGCATGTTTCGGTACAATATATATAAGAAAAGGAAAAAAATTATTTCAAATTTTTATAATGATTGAGTACATTGAAAGAGTGAGTAATTCAATCTCAATTCTTGATTTTCACATCGAAAGAAACTTTTTTTTTTTTTTTTTTGGCAAAATTACCTTACCAGATGTTTTTTGTGATTCTTGATTTTATTTTGAGAATTTGGTCCACTATGTTCAAAAAATGGAATACAAGTGCAAAGTTATAGTTAGTTGATCAATTTTGTATTTATTGTTTATGTTTTTCTTGTGATTTATTATTTTGTGTTTTTGAAAAATCGAGTATGATTTTATCTCAAACTTGAAGAGATACTAGAGTGGTAAAATGTAAAAAATGTATTACAATAGTTGTTTAATTGACTATAAGTTTATGTGCGAATGAATGAGAGTGAGGTGCTTATTTAAATAGTACTATAAAGATATAGAAATGACATTTACTAGTATAAATTATGAGAGTGAGGTGCTTGGTTTCTAGTAATAATATTAAAAACCCTATAGAATTGCAAGAGTATAACACGTTAGAAGACTTGTTTTACTATGCAAATAGGGGATTAAATTATTACTCAACAGAAATGTTACTACAACAAGGAGTTAGTTCAATTCTAATAATACAATTTGAAGTTACAAATCCAAAAGAGATAAAGAATTCTTATCTAGTTTAATTATGACTTCTCCACATAAAAATTTATCAATAAATCCTAATACATATGATGGTAAAGTGGGTTAGATCTAATGGATTGACCTATTAACTCATCTCAAAACTAACAAAACAAATTGATAGTTTTAGTTTGTCTTACTAAGTTTACTAATTCAGTGGGCTAAAGATAGGACCTATTGGCTCGCTAATTCACTTTTAAAAAAAATATTTATATGTTAAAATTAAAATAAAAAAATTATAATTTAAAATATTACATTTTTTGTGTTAAATTATTAAAATATAAAAATATACTATAATATTATAATTCAAGTTATAATATTAATCAATTAAACTTTAATTATTGATTATAATTGAGAATTTAACATATAAATAAAAATTTAATAATTATTCATATAATTAAATATAGAATTTTAAAAAATTAATATAAAAAAATATATTAACATGCTAGTCCGCTCATCCTTCAATCATCCTTCAATCTATCCTTTGGTTACACGAATTAAGATTTATAGTTTGTCATAACTAAGTAGGTTAGCCTACGTCCTTCCATTTTTGTTAAACTAGAGATGGATTGAGTCAAACCGACTAATTCATTGTATCATTTTTACTAATATATTAACTCCATGAATTAATGGTGAAATCAATTATATCAATTTTTTTTTAGGTATTTAATCTAAATTCCAACTAAAATAACAATTTTCATGAAGAAGAGGGGAAATCATCAATGAATTTTCTGGTGGAAAGAAGAACATTAGGAAAAAAAATTGTGAATTAGAGGGTGATTTACTCAACATCAAGAGATTATTTATTTTCCACACAAAATTGTTCGATTAATGGAATAGTGAATATGATGGAAGTTTTAAAATTATCGATTTAATATTATTATAAAAACTAAACTTGTAGGCTAAGCCACGTCCTAACTTATTGAAGATGAAGAAATCGTAATAAAACTAATAGGTTAAACTTCACTTTTTTTTTTTTTTATGGAAGATATAACACAGGATGTTAGGTAAAGTAGTTCGAATAGAGGAAAGTGATGCCTCTTATGGACTATGACAATATAACACCAAAGAAAATGATGAATTTATAAATAAGATGAAGAAATCGTAATGAAACTAATATTATTATAAAAACTAAACTTGTAGGCTAAGCCACGTCTTAACTTATTGAAGATGAAGAAATCGTAATGAAACTAATAGGTTAAACTTCACTTCTTTTTTTTATGGAAGATATAACACAGGATGTTAGGTAAAGTAGTTCTAATAGAGGAAAGTGATGCCTCTTATAGACTATGACAATATAACACCAAAGAAAATGATGAATTCATAAATAAGATTTTTTTTCATGCATAAAAATTAGTAAATTTTTCAAAAGTACTGGTCCATGTGAGATCAAAATAAAATTAAAAGAAAAGAGGACAAGATAAAGGAGAAAAGGATAAAATACATAAAAAGAATAAAAAAAGAGAGAGTAAAATACTTAAGGAAATAGTGATATATAAATTATTTTATGTTTATGTAAATAATTTAATACGAAAGTTTGAATCAAGAGAAAATTAAAAGTAGATTGTGAATTACTTCATATTTATAAAAATGATTCAAGGTACAATAAAACTACAAACTAAGTAAGATAAAATCACCCGTAAGAATTGAATACAAAGAAAATAATATTATACATTGTAGTCATATTTTATTGAATTAACAATGACGTAATTAAAAAATACTTGTAAAGATAAGTATTTGTTAAACTTGTTAAATGTAAAATTTTAAGTAAACATATTTATTAGTATTATTATATTTATTATTTAAATTTTATTTCTTTATTAATAATAAATATTAATATTAAAATAAAATTTAGATTAATTTTTTATATATTTTACATATTTTTAAGATTTTAATAATTTTAAAAATAAAATATTTATTTTTTAATTTATTTTATAAATTAGATTCTACAACCTTCATCAAAATTAGCCTTCCAATGAAATTTAACTAAATTATTTATATATTTTACATAGAATAACTAAAATTTTGTATTTAAATTAAGTCCACAAATAAAATATTTTTTTATCTTTTCTTTTTGGTCTGTTTTTTTTTTCGAAAATACTCATTAATAATAAATTATAATTGTATATATAATTAATTCTTAAAATAATTTAATTATGTTAATATATTCCAAATGAATCCTATTTACTGTAACCTATTTTTAAATTTTATTCGATGTAAAACAATTACATATTTTATACGATTTGTCAATTTCTGCACTTAGCAGATTTCAGTTTCACACTTTTCCTTGGACTTGAAAAAAACCTAGGAGTCGTCGCCCCTGCTCTCTCCCATCCTGTCACCGACCGAACTCTTTTCTTCCTCACACACTCATCGCTGAACACTTGAGGGTGGTTTTTCTGATTTCAAAATCAAAAATCAAAGCTTGGAGAACAAAAATGTTATACATAATTGGTTTAGGATTGGGTGATGAGCAAGATATCACTCTCAAGGGTTTAGAAGCTGTCAAAAAGTGCCACAAGGTTTACATGGAAGCTTACACTTCCCTCCTCTCCTTTGGTCTCTCCACCAATGGCATCTCCAACTTGGTATCATCTTTTTATCACCCATTTCTTTCCTTTCCTATTACTCTTTCCCTCTTCTTCAATTTTCAATTTTTTTCATCTCCTTAGGAAAAACTATACGGTAAACCCATTATTCTTGCCGACAGAGAAATGGTAGAAGAAAAGGCCCATGAAATTCTTGCCCAAGCTCACGATGCCCATGTTGCTTTTCTCGTTGTTGGGGACCCTTTTGGGTGTGCTATTACTTATTCTCAAAAACAGCATTTTCTGGCATGATATTATTCACAGTTTGATTGATTTTGTGTTTCCTGCCAGGGCTACCACTCACACTGACCTTGTTGTTCGAGCGAAGAAGATTGGAATTGATGTCAAAATAGTGCACAATGCATCTGTGATGAATGCTATTGGAATTTGCGGTCTGCAGCTTTACCGTTATGGGGAAACTGTTTCTATACCATTCTTTACGGAGACATGGAGACCTGATAGCTTCTATGAAAAGATTCAGAGAAACCGACTTATGGGACTGCACACTCTTTGCTTGTTAGGTTACTCTCTGTTATCTGAGCTTTAGAATTTGTCTGGACAAACTTAACACTTTTATTAATACTTTGAGAGAAGATGAGAAGAAATTATGAAATAAGTTTAAAATTGACTAGCTTCTTCTGAAGTTGATTTTTAATGCATACGATTAGCTAATTTAGTTTACAACGAAACTTATTTAACTTTTTTCTTAAATAAGTTTTTACGGAGAAATTTATCCAAAAATAAATGCTTATGTTAGAAATTTTTGTTACCTGGTGTCTATTCTTGTATTTACATCATGCTGGAATGCATGATAGTATGATGCATTAGATGCTATAATGAAATAGTGTGACTATTTTGTGAGTGCTTCTTCCTTCATTGCTGATAGGTGAAGTCAAAACTTGTTTGCTAAACTTATTATCTTCTACTTCTTGGAATGGAATGTCAAAGCCTAGAATGTCGTGTAAATATCTAAAAGATTGTTAGCATAAAAGTTTGTTATTTTATTCTAATATACGTTAAAAAGATTGTACCATCTGAAGTTAATGAAATTAGAGGGAAACTTTCTTATTTGACTAGTGTACTAAAGGTTCTTCCTTTTTGTTTCTTGGGAAAACTAATATAATTTCCAATTTGGTGTGTTGGCAGATATTCGTGTGAAGGAACCCACACTGGAATCTTTGTGCAGGTTGGTTTTCTAAATAGTAATTTTTTTTTTCTTTCTCCTGTTGCTAATTAGGTGTTCTAGCTGGTATCATGACATTGATCGAATTGTTCTAGTTGTATGCTTTTCTTCGTATCTGCATATTTTTTGTCTTATGTATCTTTTTTATTGTGGTTATTTCAGAGGAAGAAAAGCCTATGAACCACCCAGATATATGACGATAAACACAGCCATTGAGCAGCTCTTGGAGATTGTGCAAGGTCGCGAAGAATCTGGTGAGTTCCTTAGCATTTACGTCACACTAGTTTTGATAAAAATTCAACTGTTAATTATTTTCTTATTAATTGCATTAATTTCAAAGGATTTCAAAGATTTAGACCCTCAATAGAATTCTGTTCTGTAGTTAACCCATTTCGCATCAAACGTTTGCAATCTCAAAATGATGTTTCCTTTTTGTTGCAACTACATTAGAGTTTTAATTAACATCGTGATTTATTTTCATCGTAGATGTTATGTTCTGTGTTTGCTTGTTGTCTGATTTTGCTCTTTGTTGTTACATTGATAAATGATAAGTTGAATAGATCTGTTGGAATTTACTATGATAAAAGTCTTTTTGCTTCTATCTGTAGATTTTGTCATGGTCGTTTGGACATATAGATGTCCTTTACTGTTTCTCCAATGTCTTTGCTTAATAAACTGAAAAACAAGTGCAAAGTTACTGCATATGATGTTTTACACTTGATCTCTGAACTTCAGGTAAGTTCACGTGTTGACAAGTTCATTCGCTGATGCTTACTCTTTGCACTTGATTATGAACCTGCTAGGAAAGCAGAAAAATGTTTATGAAGATTGAGGACACTGTAATTTGAATTGTATTAATAGATTTAAGCAAATCATATGATCAAATTCCTTAGCATTTACATATACTAGTTTTGATAAATTTCAACTGTTAAATTATTTGCTTCTTGATTGCATTAATTTCAAAAGATTTCAAAGATTTAGAGCTTTGAGATTTGATCTGGATTGTACTATTTTGCTGAAAACATATTATCTTAAGCTCATTTTTTACCCTTTTAATAATATTGTGCTAACAAGCAGAGAACGTTTCTGTAATGGAAAGCAACAACAATATGTGGTGCTTTCTCGTTTAAAGTTTCACTACCACTACCAAACAATTTATCTACGGTTAATTTAAGTTCTTACTCAAATTCATTTGTCCTTTGCAATTTTTTTCTGTTCAATATATAAATTAAATGGATAAAGAATTCAAAGACTCAAAGACCTTGGAGATTACTTTTTCCAGGATCATCTGAATACCTTCTCTTTGACATTTTTGTTTGGTCTAGCATATCTTCAGCGACACCAGAGGTCTGAAGATAACATCATTGATTTTCCAAGGGACATACATATGTTTCCATGTTTTCGTAATCTGCACTCTGGGGTGCTTATTTGTGTAGATAAACTAGTTCTAATCTAGCGAAAGTATTGTCTAATATATTTTTGTATTTATTCTAAATTTAGCTATTCCCTTGGTTTTACAAAATCGTTGACTGCATCCTAATTTGTCTGTTTACTCTACATTATTGTCATTGGTTCTAGTAATTTCTGCAATTTTGGTCCCAGTTTCTTTGCCCGGTGTAATTTGTGGATCATAAATGTATATGAAGCTGCTATTATTTTTCATAAGAAATATAACTATATAGTTAAAAGTAGTCTTCCTCTCTTCTTTGCGTTGTAGCCTATACTGAGGATACCGAATGTGTTGGGCTTGCACGGCTTGGTAGTGAAGATCAGATGATAGTAGCTGGAACAATGAAGCAGTTGCAGTCAATTGATTTTGGAGCACCTTTACATTGCCTTGTTATAACAGGCAATACCCATCCTGTGGAGGAAGAGATGCTAGATTTTTACAGATGCAGGACATAGATACATTAAGACAGTAGCAGCAGTTTAATTTAGCAAAAAAGACTTGTTTTTTTTTTTCTTTTTCTTTTTCTTGAAGGAGCCCTTGTATTTTTGTATAACTTTTTGGCTTCTAATCAGGGTCAAAGTTATCTAAATTCATTGGTGGATGAGTTGTGGTTCTTCAAGTGTATTCAGCCCCCGAAAAGTGCTTATTTTCTGAGTTGTAACTATATATCCAATTGAAATTGGCATTTAAGTTATTTTGCTTTCTATTAGATCTTGTTTTTGTAAATAATCTGGTTTGTGATATTCTGCTTTGCCTAGTTTGCTGTTGATGTTTTTTGGTTTCTGTAACAATTCGTGTTCTACATTTTGCTATTGAATTATTTTGTTTGTTAAATTGGACCTTCGACTGTAAGGATAACAATTTTAATTTGTTTCTTTTGCAAACAAAATTATTTTAAATAAAATGTGTTACCTCCTTAGTGGTATAATTCCCGGAGCAAGCAATGAACTAAGGGAACACACAAGTTTTCTGATATATGGACAATATGCAGGGTAATTATGGAGAACGTGCATGTATACTTTTTGAAAAACATTGGATAATATGCTGAATTTGGAGAGATAGATTTTTTTTTTTTTTTTTAACTTATTTGCTGTTAATTTTACTTTTGGTCCACTTGAAGGATAAAGAGATAGAGTGTGTGATTCAGGTATGTTTAGACGATTTTCATTTAAGAACTTGAAGAAGAAAAAATAAGAAGAAAATGAATTTTAACTGTTGAAAGTTAAAATTAATTGTATATTAAAACTATATAATTTTAATATATTTATACTAAAATAAATTAGAGCAACTTACTTTATATATAAATTTTAAATTACGAATTCATATGAGCTTGAGTAAATTGCTCACGGTAATTGTTAATAAGGGAATCGAGAACAAAAAATAATAATAATAGTGGGTTTTACATATAAATATGAATATTATATTTTACCCCCTAATCGGTGTTATTACAATAACTTATTTTAACCTTTAAAATTAACATTGGTTAATTAGATTCATGGTGTTATGAGAAGGTAAACTATACTTGATTATTAATAATTTGATCCCATCAAAACTAATAATTGTAATAATATTATTCATCAGAACATAAATTTCACTTCTAAAACAAGCATTATTGGTCAATTTAGTTTATGAGACTAATAAATTTCGTTAAACATATAATTCAGCTTCTATAGTGCTTCGAATTTTCAATTTAATCTATATGCATAAAAACCTATTAAATTGGTCCCATATAGGCAAAATTATCAATTTGGTCTCTATCTTCATTAACTCTTAACTTGGTTTAAGTACATGCAACACATTCTTAATTTTTTCTTTATACTATAAAATTCTCAATATGATTCCTATCATAATTTTTTATTCGGATTCATATAAAAGAGTGCATTTCTCGCAATTTTTTATTTCTTCCCTCAAATAAATAGTAATAATTTTATATACCTATTATTTTTTGCATTCCTTTAAAACGCAAACTTTAGCTATATTTGTGACAACATCAAATATGAGGCGTGCAGTTTGTAATTTTGTAATCCTATGATATAAAGATATGATGTAGAAGGAAGATGAATCTATACAAATAAAATTTTCCATAAATTTCATTCCATTTATTTTCTAATTAACAAATGAACATACTTTTAATATGAAGAGGAGAGACTACAAGATCCAACAAGTCTAGTAAAATACCCATTACTAGTTACTGGCTATCTCTCCATGTTTATTTTATACATAACTTCTACCAAACTTGGTGAAGTAGACATGTATACCATCAATTGAATACGATGAATAAAATATAAGAAATGTTGCTAATTCAATGTGCAATATGCCTTAATATCATTTGGCTTCATTTTATGATGGAGCCTGAAATATCTGAAGCTGTAAAGTGAAGTTGCAGATCATTTAAGAGGCAATACAGAATACATTTATTAACGTGGAAAACCCCTCAATGCAAGGGTAAAAACCACGAGTCGTCCGGACTAAAGAAAAATCCACTATGATCAATAATGGGGTACACAAGAGTCTCCAATAATAATACCAAAAGGTATTTTCAATAAGCAAAATTAACTAAGCACAAATGCTTACAAAAGAGAAACAAAGAAGATGAAAAATCTCCAAAACAGGGCTGCTGGTGCGGGACCAATTTCTCCCAATCTAGACCTTCGATTGACGATCCGAACGGTCAGAATGAAGAACCATATGTCTGGAACCTACTATCCAAAAAATCAGCTCGATCCAACGGTGAACGACTTCACAGCGACGAAAACACCAGTGCAGATTTAGGGTTATGCGGAGATGACTTTCTCTCTTTCTTTTTCTCTCACTAGACTTTTTGTCTTTTTTCAAATGACTTCTCTTGTCCTCTACTAATCTGACCCATCTCATTTTACCCAAATGAGACATAATGGACCACACTATTTGGGCCTATTCTCCACATAGGAAGGGAGCCCAATAACCCAACGAGTAACATGTACAATAAGATTACCAATTTTAGAGGTGTTTCTGAAGCCAACATTCCTTACACCTTTGCTCATTCTCTCATCTCTTGTGGTTTCACCATTTTTATTTCTTTCATTATTTTGTTGTTTTGCTCCTTTATAACTATTTGATACCTTATGCTTTTGTGAAGAAACTTTTGCTCCTTCTTTCTTTCCAGAAGTATGATTGCTTGGCATAGAATTTGCAAAGTGTTTATGGTTGGTTGATGGAGCAGGAAAAATCAAACTAGCTTCTGATGCATTACTTTTGGCGCAGTCTTCAACTGAGGTATCGTGTGGTTCTCTTATTGTTATTGATTCATCAATATCTAGATTGTTTCTCACCTTTGATTTCAAAGGAACTGTTGCATCTGCTTCATTCGATGAACATTTTGGTTTGTTTTGTTCTTTCTTACTTCTGGTGTTGTTTAGCACAACCTGCTTGTGAGGCTTGAAAAGGGAGAATTGGCAAACATAAAGTGGTTGTTGTCAAACATAAAGAATAAAAAGATAAAAAAAATGTAACATTTTGATTTCATTGCTCATCTAAACTCTTAAATAAAACTAGGTCACTGAATATTTGACCACCACCAAGAAGATCCCATTAAGTAGGATTATGGGTATGAGACAACAAAATGAATCACAGATTGCATGACATGCTTGCTGTAATTCATAAAAAACTATAGACTGAAAACTCAAATAGCATGTACCTTATTTGCATGTGGTTGTGAAGACAAAGTTGTGTTATAAAATGAAGGCATTGGAGTTGCTTTAAAGTTGAGGCTCTTCCGAAGTTGTTTAATGTCAGTTTCTGTTTTTTCCTACAATAATAACAGTTGAATGTAACAAGTTTCTTCAAGCTTCACGAGAAATGCAAATAACTTTAGCCAACAACACTACAAATACTTGTTAAAAAATTCTTCTACACATTTTGTTTCCTCAATCTGTATTGTTGGCCATACCTCTCATCCAATACATGGAACCACGATTACGAGATTTATTAGACAAATGTCATTTCATTCATTATTTTTTCACTTTTCATTATTAGCAAATTCATTGGTCACATTCATATAGCATCTTCAGTTAGAATCTAACAAGTTCTACATATATCACATATGAATAAAACTTCATGCAACAATTTCTCAATGAGATTAAGTGCACATGACATAGATGTATAAACTAGAACTTAACTGTTATGCGTACAACCATCAGACATCGTTCTAATCAATCATATCAATGTGTTTTTTGCTTCTCCTGCACCATATAAATATGAAGCAGAAACAAAATTGGAAATCTATGTGACTTTGTTCCAAGTTTCATTGGTGTAAAATTGTCAACTCATTTATTCATATGAAGAGTCTCTTCCTTGATAATCTAATATTCTTACCATCTGATAAAACTAGAAGCTGTTATTCGCCAACTTACCTGTGATATTGCTTGCATTTGATTCACCTCTGCTTCCTTTGCATGCAATTTTTCTTCCAACTTCATGTAGAACTGAGTTGATAGGATCAAGATAACAAATAGAAAGTCATACATTCTATATCCTTTCTTAACATAGACAGAAATGATTCCAAAAACAACCATTTTACTTGCCTCTTTCCTCCTTTCTGCTCGCTCACTACATTTAAAGTTAAAAGTTGCAGTCTTAGGCCTAACACCGGACTTCATAGAATTAAAATCATGGTTCAACCTGCATAACATAGTTTCAAATCAAAATGAAAGAACACGAGAGATTAATCTTATATAGGTCTACAAAACCTCTCTGCTTCTTGAATTGAATTCCTTTGGAATTTAAAGCAGAAAGGTTGGGATTTTGCACCCTTTCTTAGTCTTGATACATTCTCACTATTTATCAAACGTACATATTGGAGTCTGTGAATGTGAAAATATAACAATTCCAACTAAGAAACAACAGTTACCTTTTGCTTTCACGAATTTGTTTCTCTTTGCTTTTGTAAACCTGCACATGGAGGCCCAAAGATTAAAGGCAATAATACCTAACAAGTCACAAGCAAGCCATTTATATAGAAGAGTAATCATTAGAAAAAGATATGTAAACTTTAGAGAAACAGTCATTCCTTCTTCCCAAAGTACATTGTCATTCAAATTCTTACTTCTTTGGAGGTTTTGCTAGTTGGAGTCGCATGTTTTGGTACATTCTTTTCCATATTTGTTCTCCTTGGACTATATCTACGGGGAAGCGTAGAAAGATCCTTAACTGATCTAGAATTTGAGCATTTCTGAACTCCAACATTGTTGACTTCAGGATTTTGTTTTGAGTTGAGCTTTGTTTCCTGTGCATAAATCAAGCACACTCATGTCACCCCCCGTGACCATAAATTGTGTGATTGAAAAATATAAACAATGTACTATATAGGGAAACGAAGCTCTAGTTCAGAGAAAAAGTTGAAATTAAACCACAAATACTTATGTTATCATAAATATGCATAATCTTGATTAATTATATTAATAGTAATGCTTTCACCATAAGGCATTCTATGGATCTTTCCATGGGCAAAATAGTGTAACTTCACGTATCAACACGCATACCTTAGGACAAGGATTTCCAAGATCATGCATAACTGTTTCTTCGACACCGTGTGCTGGTTCAGCCACAATTATACTCGTGTTTACTGATGATTCATCAGTATTTACAGTAACATCATCATCCTTTTTCACTTCTATAACCGCTTCATCATTAGCCAGGAGTATGTTACTTGTAGCATTTTCAGATTGATGAGCTTCATCCAAAGTACTATTTTTCTTACTGGCATCCTCTAAATGGTTAGAACTGTTTACAACATATTCCATATGCATACCACGTTCTCCATGATACTTTGAATTATCATGAATTTCACGAAATTGAATATAATGTCCATTATCAATTGGCACCAAATTCTCTTGGGATCTCTGATCCATTTCAATATAATGCTCACTTTCATCCAACTCAAAATCCTTTTGGGACATTTCATGAAATTGAACATAATGGTTATCATTAGACTCAAAATCCTCTTGTTTACCATTTTCTTCCGAGCTATCATTTTCACCTGCTACTCTATATGCTAAACCATCATGAGTTGTAGATGGAATAATACCAAAAGTTCCCTTCTTCTTGAAATGTGCTTCGAAATATGCTTTCTTCTGAATAACTGAACCAGGTTTTGAACATTTCTCAACCTCCTCCAAGTAACGATTATGAGAGAAAGAGGACCTTCGTTCCCAAGATAAGGGTTCATTTTCAAATCTCCCAAATGAGATCGAACCAGAATGTATAGAATCTACCTGCATGCTTGGTAAGAATCAAAGCATCAGATATCAGAGTCAAATATCAACTTTGTTCCATTTTTGTAACATTAAAAGTAATAATATTCAATCAGGTTAACACATGTACAATTGAGTTCTTCTTTTACTGAAATTTTTTAGAGGAATAATTAAATGGAAGGTGAACATTTTGTGTATGATATAATAAGTATCAAACAAAATTCAAACAAATTTGCAATGTAATCTCAACCTCTCACTTCATCGTTATTCATTTAATCACTTGGATTATATTTTTTTAGTATCATGCAATATATATTTGATCCAGTTAAATATAAAAATTATAATTTAAAAAAAAAATTGGCAATGTCAACCGTTACAAATATTATTGGTAATATTTTATAATCATTAATTGCATTGAAAAATAATCAAATTTTTAATTTACTTTACTACTTTTAATAATATGACGTTATTTACTTAAAAAACAATTTATTTTTTCAAAATTAATACACGATCGTTTTGTTTAATTCATTCTATTTTAAAAATTATTAGGAATCAAATAAACAAGGATCAAAGTGATTTATATTTAATTTTATCGGATAAGTTGTGAATAGAAGTAAATAAATCTATTCGATAAGTATATAAACAATAAAAGTAACGTAATTACTATTGAATGTGTGATCTCACCACTATTGTTTTATAATAATTCATGAATTATATAAACTATTCTTTATGAAAAAGGAAACTATAATAAAATTCATAAAATATGATAGATGAATATGCAATTAAACTTATGCGCATAGATAATTTTAAATGGCATAATCTTGTTAATAAATGAAGTAAAATAATTAAATAAAAAATATTACGAAATTATTTAAATTAAAAATATGAAAAATATAAAATCTGAAAGGGAGTCTAAGGCAACCGGGATCGTTCTGAGCACAATACTAGAACAAGTCACGCGAAACCAACCACAATTCATAAACTTAACTAAGCAAAAAACATGATTGAAACATTGTAACTGGAATCGAAAACAACAGATCCACGTTAAAATCAACAAGAGGATGAAAAATCAATAACCTGAAACTCCATGCTGAATGATTCTTCAACCTCCCCACCCATGTGGCCTTTTAAATCACCAGCCACAAGCAGAATCACAAATTATGATTCTTCCCCTAAAACAAAACCAATAAGACACCTTGGTTATTGAACAACCAAACAGAGAAATCCTTAGTAGTAAACGAAAGCCATTTGAGAAAGTGAGAAACAAATGTGTTAGGCACAGAAAGAGTGAGAATACCAACAAACACGACAAGCAAGCAAGCACAGGACAGAACAGAACAGAACAGAACAGAAGACAATAATAGTTCCAAGTTGGCTTTGAAGTGAGATCCTAAGTTTGGCTCCCAAGTAGTTTGGTAATTTGGTTTTTCACACACATAACACAACACAAAGAGATGAGATGAGGATGTCACTTAAAAAGTGTACAGTATCTCAGATTTCATATGCTTATTATTATCATTATTAGAAAAGGGTATAAAATAATCATGTGCAGGTTGTCTTATTTTGTCTTGTTTGGCTTAGACACGGTTTTAGAAGCTGTGCTTCACGCTCATGCCAATGCTCCCTCTAACGGATACTTAACGCGCCGTTAGGCTCCGAGAGTACCATAATTCATGCAATGCTCAACAAGCATTGAAAGAGAGAAGCACGTGTCGGCTTCGGTGCTATATATTTTCACCCTATAAAGGCCCCACTCACCGTTTTCGTCTCGTTAATACAGTAAATATATTCTGATTATAATACCCATGTAAAAATATTTCATTTTATATTCATTAAAAAATATTAGTTAATTTTAATTTTTAATCATGAATTGTAGTTTTTAGTAAATTCTATAAGTTATCTCTTAAAATACTAAATTTTCTTTTTATTTTAAAAAGTATTACATTAATGATTCGTATATATTTCTATGAATAAAGCCAGTTCGAATATTTAAGTTTTTATATTTGTTGAGAATTTAAAATTTTTTGAGAATTGATGTGTAAATTTAAAGTTTCACTTTGGATATTTGGATAAAAATAAAAAAATTAAGTATGTTATAAATACGAAAGATCCGTAATGTAATATTTTAAGATTTTAGATTAAAATTTATTAAATATTTTTTTATGATTGATTTGTGTTTTATTATTAAGAATTTTTCTGTTATTAATTTTTATCAAAATTATAAAGGTTTTGGATAAGTTAGTTTCTTTACGTTGAACGACTATATAAATAAAATCAATATTAAATATATTTTTATTAAGAGGTGATATATCTATATGAAAAAAAATTATGTTTAGGATAGAAATTGTTGAAAATTTAAATATGAATTTAAAATTTTATATTACAAAAATATTCCTTGATCAACCGAATTTTTATAAAAAAAAAACCATTAATTTTATTAATAAATAATTTCCACTTAGAATAATATTCTAAAAGAATTTTACGCAAATTATATAATAAATAGTGTGATAGAAAAGAAAAAGGAAAATTAAATTATTACGCTTTAACTCTATTATTGATTGATTATCGATAGTGTGTATAATTTTTCTTGAATATTCATTATGAGAATTAATGGTTCGAATAAAGTGCGAGTATTATTGAGTACCTCTAACGAGTGTGATTTTTAGGTGCTATTGATAGCGATAACACTGACTTTAATTATGGCACGTCAATTGTCTACGTTTTCTTTACTTTTTCTCAACAATTTCTTTTTGAAAGTTTTTAATACCTTAAAACATTAATTGTTTTTCTTTTTTTATTTAGGACTTATTTATTTATTTATTGTTGTTTTATTAAGGATTTTTAATTTATAACTTTTAAAAACAGTTTTTAATTTTTAATAAAATTAAAAAAATTGTTTCATAACAATTTTCTTAAAATAATGTTTGAAAATTGTTTTTTTTTTAGTTTTCTAAAAATTAAAAAAAAAATCAAAAGTATTTTTTATTTTAATTGTTTATTTGTATTAATAAGTATCAATATTTTTAATAGTAATAAAACATGTATTTTCTATGATGGTCTATATTATTTTCTTTTGTTTTTTTTTTAAATAAATATTTTTTTTCAATTTATTTTTAAAAATAAGTTTTTAAAGTTAATGTCTAAAACATATTTTTAAAACTAAAAAATAAAACTAAATCAAACCAATCCACATTTTTTTAATACTTATCATGTCATAGCAAATATTATTCTAAAAATAGTATTTTTAAGATCTTGAAACTTTTATTTTTTTAAGTAATCTTAATTTCAATTTTACAACATTTATTTTCAAAAAAAATAGTTGTTGACATGTACTTCTATATTTTAAATATATTTTTTAGAAGAAATAATTGTATACGGTGTAATGTTTATATATATATATATATATATATATATATATATATATATATATATTGTCTTCACTTGGTTATAGTTCGACTTGTGATCAAATTAAGGCTAAATTGACTTGAGATTTAAAATAAAATTTAGAAGAAAAATTGATGTAAGATAATTACAAATTTTTACATTATATAAGTAATAAATTTCCAAGTATAAACTAATAAACTTTTAAAATATTCAATAAAAGATTTGAAGTCAATTTCAGAACCAGTATATTTGACTACACGAAAAAAGTTATTGATTTGATTGATGAATTTTAAAATGCACTTAAATTTGTTAAATTTTCTAATGAAATTTGTGGTGGTAAATATTTTCAACCAATGAGCGTATATAGTATTCACCAAACTAGTTTGTAGTATACTTTAGAACAAAAAAAAAAAAAACCTAGTTTTGAGGATAAGAATTTGTAAAATATACTTTTTAAGTGAGAGGTTCCTAGCTCAAATTTTAGTTCATTCTTATGTGATAAATATTTTATTTTTAATTGCTTTTGTGATAAAATAGAATATAGACTTCATTAAAAATTATATATATATATATATATATATATATATATATATATATATATATATTCTCATTATATTTTTTCTTTTCTGTTTGATTCTCCATTCACTCTCAAGTTCTTACTCTTTTCTTTATTAATTAGAATAAAAATCTTCTTAAACTGTCCCAAAATTATTTAAATTATTATCCAATTTCTTATATATGTTTTTTTATTCCTTATGTATCTAACTAATCAATTATCAAACTCATGAATAAGATTCATTGATTACATCAAGTGTCTAATATTTTAAAGTATTATATCTTTATATATAATAAAATCAAAGTGCACCCTATTAATTAAAAAGACTTATTTTTTTACTGTAATTTTCATAAAAAAAAGTTAATTACTTGTCATTCTTACTTTAAAATATTAATTAAATTTATTATTTTAAATAAATTATAAATATTTATAACTTTAAATTTATTTATTTTATTTATTTCAATATATTTTTCTTTCATTTTTTTAATTTAAGAATACATGTATTGTAGGATAGTTTTTAGGATTAATATAAACCATAATTCCCCACATTTTTTTCAATAATTTTTTTTTAACTTGCCACTCATTTGCGTTCTCAAAATTTTAGTCATAATTTTCCGAGAAAATTTTAAGAAAATGCCAGTTGTATTTTAGTGTTTGTTTATATTTCTATCCCACAACCAATCAATTAGAGTAAAGTGTTTTTTTTTTCCTTAAAGAAAAAGGAAAAAAAGAAAACGTTTGGTACGAAATCCATTTTCAAACGTTATTTTTCATTCCTGTACAAGAAAATTATTTTTACTCTTATCAATGCAACGGGACTTCAATAAATGTTTTTATTGTTCGGGAGATACATGTTAGGTTGGTACGACGTCTATTTTCAGTCACAATAATTTTTGTTTTTTCTATTCAATACAATCATTCATTGCATACAATCACATTAATTGTAATCATTATATCATTCAATATAAATCGAAATTCATGAATTTTTTTTTCTCATTTTAGCTTGTATTTTTATCATTTATTTAAGAGGTATGAGATGAAATTAAATTATTACTTCTTAATTTACTACAAATATTAAAATAATAAA